ACACGTTCAATGTCCCGTGACCCATACATGGGTCATTGCTATTGTTTTACTATTGTGTCTGCAAACCGTACTGTTAGTGTTAATTATGTTTACCGATGTCTCGGAAATGGCTGAACCGACTTGATTCTTTTTTTTTTACTAAATAGATACTTCAGGGGTACAGCTACCCACATAAATTTAAAGAAAAAATACGTTATTAGGGGTGGAAAAATAGGGGATGAAGATTTAAACGTTATCATTTAGACGACTTTCTAGTCGTTACGTTTTGAAGTCGGTTTGTACTTTTAATAAAAGTTAAATTATTATAACTACGTCTAACATGTTCTTTTAACCATAATTACTTGAGCCGAGTGTCCTCCATGAGATGCAAGTAATTATGCAAATCTGGAGATGAGGCGCACTCGCGAGATACAGTTTTCCATTTGCGGATGCAATTTTCCCTAACTCATTTTCGCTCATTTACGCCACGGAGATAGTCCTTTTCTGAAATAACAGTTTTTAATTTACCTTATGAAATAGATTCCTAGATTTACTAGATTTGGGAAATTCTTATATTAGTGGAAATATATAATCTTATAGTAAATTTAAACCTCTCGTATTGTGTTTACAGTTTTTTGCGAGGTATCTCCTCAGGTCATGGCCAGGCGAAATTATTAAATTTTATAAAATACTAGCTGATCGGGCAAGCGTTATTCTGCCCTTTTTGACGACCCTTCATATAAAAATCCTTTAATTCGTAATAAAAAAATATTGTCACTTATAGGGATAAAAACTATTCTATCTCTCAAGTTGGACCAAACTGCACACAGTGTGCAAATTTTCAATGCAATCAGTTTAGTAGTTTAGGAATTCATCACGGACAAACAATGTAATAAATCACCATAAATTTTAAACTTGTAAAGATTTAATTTCTCTTTAATTATATAAGTGTTAGTTTGGATGCTACATCTATTATCTATTTTAAATATTTATTAATTATTTTCATCTTTATCTATTTATGTTTGGTTTGTTTATGTGGGCGACGCACTTAAAAAATAGAGCTGCCAGCAGAAGAACAGGTGTAGCTATGTGCGATAGCAGCGTAGGCCGATCACGCTGCTATAGCACATAGCTAAAATGTTCGAAAGATTGCTGCCAAGAAGCGTTCACCCGTGCGTACAACTTCGGGCGGAACAGCACGGATTTAGGAGGAACCACTCGACAGCAACGCAGCTGACCAGCGTGGTACACTACCTTGCGGCCGAGCACAAGCACGGCCACACTTTGGCCGTCTTTCTCGACATAGAGAAGGAGTTCGGCAGGGTGTGGCACTCTGGATTACTTTACAAATTAGAAGCACAAACAAGTATGGCTGGACGAGTGGAGGATGAACGTCAATGTTGGCAAGACGACCACTCTGCTCACCCGCCACTTCAGAAACCTGCCACCACCATTGACGCTCAGGGGCCAAGAGGTCGTGTACGAAAACGCCGTGACCTATCTTTGATGCCGGATCGACAGGATGCTGCGTATGACTGCGCACGTCGATCTCGTCGTCAGCAACGCCAGTGGTGCGCGGGCGGTGCTCCGTCCCGTCCTGGCATCCAACCTACCACTGACGACCAAACTGGAGCTATACAAAATGTATATAAGAACCAGACTTACACATGCTGCTCCGGCCTAGTACGCACTCCTAAGCGATCAAGAAAAGCAGCGACTGCAAGCCCAGCAGAATTTATCACTACAAGTACGAACCATCGTCGGTGCTGGTTGCAACGTCCGGAATGACGTCATTGCGGCCAACCTTTAAATGGAATCCATACATGAATTTGTGGTCCGGTTGGCGCGTGGCATGTCAGACAACGGGCCACACCCACACCTGACCAAGCTGGCACTTTTACATGCCCGGCCCGGACGGGCATGTAAACTCTCTACCAAGAGAACTCCTCTCTATAGAGATTAGAGAGTCGAGTAACAACCCTCAATGTCACTGATAGACCAACCTTGATTTACTTTGATAACAACTTGTAGCGACCGGGGAATAGAACCCCCGACCGCTGCCTTATATTTACAATGCCGAGACGGCTCCTACGACCGGTACAAAGTTGTGTACCGCGAGGAGATTGCGGGCAATGGGGAATGCCCCGAGGCCCGAGACCTGCTGTGTGCTAAACAGCACACACGCAGAAGACAAGGATAACGATAACGGAGATTCGTTCGGTCGTTCGGAGATCGAAAGTAAATAAAACAAAAACGTTGTTAGACAGTTCCGTTTCTTGTTTAGATAATAATATAACTCCTATGTTATTTTCTTGCGTGCTCTTTGCAAACAAGTTTTATTGGTACAAGAAAATATTAATATCTTACGTATACGTTTTGATAAGATGTAAAAAAAAACATATTTATAGCGGTGTAAAAGCTTTATTTGTTTCAGAAATACGGTTATTTTATTGTGATAATATGTTAAATTTTAATAATACAATACAAAATAAATTTCGTGTTCGATATAGACATTATGTCGGAATTTTTTTTTGTATTAACTATATGTAACTTAAAAATTTTTAGCTTAAATCCGTGATTTAATAACTGTTGCTAATCACTTCTAATAAGGAACAACCGTTTTAAGCTTAATTTGAGTAGTTGACGGGAATTTCAGTTATGTTAATAGCTGGTAAAGAAAATTACTTCGCGTACATCCGCTCGATAAAATAAAATGATGTGTCTTACCTAGTTTGAAGAGTACCACCCGCCCTGGCTCAATTGCGTACACTATCACCGTCACCACTAATCCCAGCACCACTACTCCCAACACCACTACACTAGGAAAGACACACCACTGACGACAATACGACACGTGTTTCGCCTCTACACGAGGCAAAATCTAGACTCTGTGGTGGCTGACTCCTAAGTAAAGTAATTTTTTACCAGCAGCTTCGCACACGTGGGCTTCAATTAAGAAACATTAATACCTGTCCATTTCAGAATTAGCAAAATTGGAGTACTTTTGTGTTTGTGTGTCTATACCTATGCCTATGCCTGTTTGCCACAGGATGTTCACTTTTTATGGGTTGTAATGATGATGAGATCTACTTTTCTTCGCTACTCTTAATAGAATGTCAACAAACATGAAACATCTCCGTATTTATTGGGCTTATTATACAAAACTATATAATAAGCCCAATAAATGTAAAAATGGTATCATCCTATATACATCCCACTTCTGGGCACAGGCCGCAGTGAGATTTGGGACAAAAGAGAGTTCGCTGACCTCAAGCGGCATGACCGATCACATATCACATTAAAAAAAAATTACTTATTAGATAAGCAAGTTTCTTTGCGATGTTTTCCTTCAACGCTGAGAACGTGGTAAATTGTCACTCTTTTGCGTGCACGAGAACGTGGTAAATTGCAATTATGATATGAATGGTGTCGGCGTGGATTGAATTTGTTTTGCTTTCGTACTATGAAATTTACGCTTGGATTGCTTCTTTTACCGGCTTTGACAAGTGAATTTAAAAATTCTATTAATGCTTTACTAATAATAAAAAATGCATATGTGAAGTTCTCACGCGGTTGAATTGAAACCTTCAAGTGAAATGAAATATAAAACAAAAATATTTCACAGCAGATGATATTTACTTTGATAATTTTCAACCATAATTACATCATAAAATATAAGATGAACGTTTCATTCTATAGCAAATAAATGTTACAATACAAATTTTATGACATGTAGAGCCTAAGTTTTAGTGTATTAATTAAATCAAAAGAAAATTTTCTTTAGAGTAACCTTTTCGCCTTTATTTTATTACCTAAATATTAGTACAGATTCTATCTCATTCTCTCGCAAGCTATATCATATAGACGTATGTTTGTCTCTTTTTAGAGTCTTTTTTTCGTTTTATCGCATTTCAAATCACAACGATACTTAAGAAGTTTCACTTCGATAAAAATAAACATGTTTTTAAGTAAAATTTGCTTTCTTTGCTACTTATATTCTGTTAATTATACATACTCTTGTGAGCTATGAAACCGGGACACAAAATTGTTAATATGTTTGAAAATATGAATGCTATCTTAATATAAGAAAAACTGTTTTTATACTTCATTAAAAGTAAAAAAGTAAAGTAGCTTGCATACGTCTCACGACTGTGCACAGGTCGCCTCATCACCCAGTGTTTTGTAGACAGAAAAGAGCCCGCCGAAATACTTCAATGAGTATTAACGGTTTTCATATGTCCACGAATTTTTTTTAAGTATTCAAACATCTAGGTTGGCCAACGAAGTTATTCTTCACCACTTCACCGAATACGCGGTCAATCAGCACATAAGCATATCAGTTTCATTGGTCCTCGGAATCGGGTACGTTTTGCTCCTGTGCAATGAAGTTTTACGGCAAACTATACAGCTCTTGATTCATAAACACTAAAAAGAAGCGTTTGCACGATCGTGAACCTAGTGACATCTATCTAGTAATTAGTACATTGGATAACTTATTACAAAATGAGTTTGTAAAATTTTTGCTATGCCGATAGACAGCTTAATCGAAGTTTTGTGTACATAGTATCCAATATAACAGTTTAGTTAGTCATTATGCTAAAAATGGCAATTACCGTAAATCATTCCGATAGTGGCCACCGGTCTGGATCGTTTCAACGTTGGATTACTAATTACTAGAAATCCGTTCAATACTTTTTGCGTGAATCGTGAATTATCAGACAGACAGACTGTCAAAATTCTAAAAACCGCTAATTTGTATTCAGTGCAGTTGTTTAGTCTCCTGGACTTATTTTTTTTAAAGAATATTAGAATTACAGACACAACTTTTCTACGGACTTGTTAATTGTATAAATTAAATAAAAATAAATATTTTTAATAGTGTTAACAACTCATGAAACAATTAGTACTACTTTCATTTATGACTATTTTATAAATAAAATTAATATAGTGATAATTTTACTACTTAAATTTATGAATCATATCTAGACAAAAGGATGTCTTTGATTGTTGCAGAAAACAAAATGGGGTGCTTCGTTAGTAAAGACAAACTTACCAAGGAGGACATGGATTTCCTCAAAACTCATACTTCTTATGATGAGACCACCATCAAAGAGTGGTATAAAGGATTTAAGGTAAATAAAGTATCGTTAACAGTTTTAAAAATAACAGTTAATTATATCAAAGAAAATTAATTGGATGTAAAAATTAATTTCGGAATAAAATAAAGTTTAAATGTAAATGATTTTTGTACTATATTTCAATAATATACTTACCGGTAAAGTTGTTTATAGAGCTAAAAGGGATGGGAAACGCGGTCTTAGTCCACCTGATGGTAATTGGAAGATAATATGGGCTTCCTACATTTATCGACCTCGATTAGAAATCAAAATGCAAACGGTTGCTATCCCTGAAAATTAAGATGAAATGCCTCGTTACTAAAAAGGGTTCTCCGGTTCACGTCACTCATCATTATTGCAGCATGACTATGCAGCTATTTAACGCTGATATTCTGTGCGAACGTGTCCTTCTCTAAGTGAGCGGACCCGTTCGTACTGCAGACATAATGCGCTGAAACATGGCTTTGCCATATACAGTTAATTATATAAAGTACATATTTGTTTTTAAGTCACTCGCTTATTACTTCGCTTAAAAGTCTTTGTTAAATAACAATTTCTTTGCAGCAAGATTGTCCTAATGGAAGATTGACCCCGGCGAAGTTTGTCGACATGTACAAGATGTTCTTTCCCTCCGGAAATGCTGTAGAATTCTGCGATCACGTATTTCGTACATTCGATATGGACAGAAATGGCTATATAGATTTTAAGGTAACCAAGACAAACCAATATTCATTATTATTTCGTATGAAGCGTATTTATGCGAATGTTTAATCGATTTCGCGTTGGTGAAGCAAAGCGAATAAAATATGATTATTCGATGTATGTATATAGCCCGCGCAGCGATTTCTACATTTTTAATTAATTTTTTATATTATAACATATGAATGGCATGCGTTTGTTCTGTCTTAAAGTTCTATTAGGCGGTCATCGTGTATCCAATGTGTGCGCTTGTTATAGGAATTTCTGCAGGCGATTCATGTGACATCCAGCGGTACTCCCGAAGAGAAGCTTAAATGGGCTTTCCGCATGTACGACGTAGACGGAAACGGAGTGATCGATATTCAGGAGATGACCAAGATAGTCCAGGTCAGTGCTTTAAACATTTAGTAATTTTAATTACATTTACATTACAGATTTTTTATATAATAAATTTGACAGACGAACACACACACATTGTTGACGAACGAACATGGTGATGGTAACTCTATGCTGTGGCCCAAAAACATCTACATCTATCCTCGATTAAGAATCAAAATGCAGATGCGTTGTTAGCCCTGTGGACTAAGATGTAAAGAGTCTGGCGCTTATAATACTCGTCAAGGAGTACCATAATTCGAAAAATGTTGGACGAAAAAAGAAAAAAATTAATGAAATGACTAACGTTAATTCCTAACCTATTTTTATTATTATTGTATAAAGATTATAAAAAATAAATATCTTATTTCATACGTACACCAACACTTAATATACTTATATAATTCATATAATATCACACTATTTATTTATAGCATACACTTATATCTATTAATTCCACAGTACACTTCTGTGTACATTTGCTCTGAAATTAAACGACTTAGGTATACGTATACAAAAACAACCACTTAAATACAAAACTTGTTAAATAAGTAAAAGTACATTTGTATGTTACTTTTACATACTTACCAAGTAATAAAACCTAATTGGTACGAGTACAAACAAAAATGTAAATTAAATATCATTAAAACTGTTAATTAAGACTAAATATGTTCATTTTACTAACGTGTAAAGTTTTTAAACTAAAAACTCTTAAATATAAAGGCGTTTGTATGGTACCTACTTTTACTTATTTACTTATTACGTAGAATCATCTACGTTTGCGGATGCCTATCGCGCTGCAAAAAAAGACACGTATTCATAGGTTGCGGTTAATATACAGTATATTCTAATTTAAGTACATGTAATATAATATTCGTCCATTACTTATATAGGAACATAAATTATAAGTGTAAAATAATTGTTAACTCACTAAATATCGTCAACATTATTATCACCATTATAACAGCCCTTCAGAAGTCCCTGCTGAACATAGGTCTATATGGAATTCCACAAAACACGGTCTTTAGCCAATTGCTTCCATCGGTTTTCAGCATGAATTACCAGGTCATCACTCTACGTAGTGAGGGGCCAACCCCACAATGCGTCTACCGGTATGAGACTGTCTGGAGTACCTTCATTCCCCATCGATACTCGTAGTTGGTTCTTCAAACTATAAGGAAGGCTCATAGCCACTTCCGTTAACTGATCCGTTGGACTATGCCAGTTACTCTAGTGTACTGCAGATATCTTCATTACACATTCTATCACGCAGAGATACTCTGTGCATAGTACTCTACCTAGGTCACGATTAATAAAGGAATGATTTTGGTTTATTTTACTTGTCTAACAGCCATAATATAAAGGGTATGATAGAGGAGGCTTTGGGTTCCTCGGCGACGGGTCTTGTAGAACTTAGTTTCCACGATCTTGTTATAGGCTGTGTAATTCCTTTAAAAAAAAAACTTTACCTACACACTTCGATTTTCTCTTATATCGTGGAATCAGTTTTATTATTCTTCTCATGGTATTGAAAACGATTTCATGATTCGAGCTAAAAGTTTTCGAGTCTTTGGCTTGGAGCATGAGGAGGACGAAGCGTTGATTTCATTAGACGTGACCTCTACTACTTAACGTTTTGGGTCAGTGTGCATCTCACCATTCGACAACCGTTATCAGCCTTCAATCTCGCGATCACTAAGACATCACTGAACAGTGGTTGTCTGATCGTCATAATGATTTCTCTCTCATTTTCCGTCCAACCGTCGGGGCTAGAACAAGTCCACTTGATGTGGACCCGTTTTTAGAAGAAAGAGTTTATCATAAAGTGTATCTCCATATCCATGCAGTCGGTCATCTGTTGATCCATGGTATCTATAATTGAGCAATGTTATATCGCAGTGACGAAAGTAACGGCTTTGCCTACACCAACCCGCCTGCTTAGGTAGCGTGTACGATTAAATTTACCTAAAAGTATCTGTTAAATACTTGAAACATTTATGTCCAACATTTCCACCGATTATTCATCATATAATAAAATAAACATTATGAAAGTTATTGATTAATTTATTTAACTTTTTTAAACTTAATGAACATTTTATAAATTCCAGGCAATCTATGACATGTTGGGCGCATGCTCCAGTAACCGGCCTGCAGATTCTGCGGAGGAACGCGCTAAGAATATTTTTGCAAAGATGGACGAAAACAACGACGGTCAACTAACTCAAGAAGAATTCCTTAAGGGCTGCCTGCAGGATGAAGAACTTTCAAAGATGCTAGCACCTTAAGTTGTCCTTCTTTTACACAACCCACTGTCCGGTCTCACAAACTCGCTTTATGTTGCATTACAATCTCACGATAACCCGACGGCGTTATTCTGTACCACAGTGTGCCGCTTGTTGAAAGAGGCTACACGAACTTTAAATAAATTATTATAATTAATTGAAGTTCCTTGCCTCGGTTGATTATCGTAAAATATTCTTCATACGTTTTTTGCGGTTGTAAATATTTTCGAAAAAACGCACACATTTTGTAATTTTTTTAGCTAATGAGAAAAGACAAGTAAGGGTGCCATCTTGTCAGGCGTATTTAAATACGTGATATTGTACTATCTTCGAACAAAAACAAGTGTTATTTGTTTTTGCATCTAAAAATTGTTTGAAGGAGCTCTTTTTGAGGCAATATTAATGAATTATTATTCTTTTAAGCCAGTTTTTTCCATAAAATTGCAATCCAATTTGGAAATGCAATTTTTTTCATACGTCAAAGATTTAAATATTAATACGCATCGCTAAGTAAATAAATATATTTTGTGAAGGTGACGAAACACACAAAATATAAGTTATGCTTAGAAATAAAGAGATCTGTCAATTCTTCAGTAAAATAAATCAATTACTTGTGTCGCTGTCGGATTGTCCATTTCGATAATATATCTTCATGTATTCAAACCAGTTGTGTAAAAAAAAAAATCATGTCTTAGCACAATTCTGTCGAAATAAAATGCATTTTGCTACCATTATAATGACATACCCGCAATTTGACACATTATTGTATATCCCAATCAGCACACCATGTCACTCTTAATTATTTATATAAGGCAACAATTAGTGTAATTTATAGGCGGAGGTGATCAGATTGACCGTTTGCTGAAAGGATGTCCATGGCTTAATACTACTGTTTGTAGTTTAGAAATAAAAATCGCATACAATCTGAGCAATTCCGCAGATTTCTAAGTCGAATTGTGTAAGTTTTGTCAAACATTACACTCTAATAAGAATCGTAAATATAGTTTTAATGTCAATATCTGTGTATCAATATCGTTCATATTCGGTGTTTTCTTCTTGTAGTGAAATTTCAAAAAGTAATAGTTCAAGAACAATCCCCCTTAACTTTTACATTTCTTGTTTTATTGATTATAGTTCAAATTTCAAAGCCTTACTCTAAAAATATCCCTTTGTATTTATTAATAAGGTTCTATTTTTGTTGTTTTCTATTCCCACTACTGTGCCTTCTAGTTCTCTGTGTAAATAGTTTATTCAAGATCGATTTTTTTCGTAATTGAATCCTCCTCTTAAATTGTCATTGATTCTACTTCTTTCACTTCTTAGGTCAAATCAAGCATACTATATTTAGTAGCTACTCAATTTATATAGTGTGCTTAAACTAACTCTGCCTCATTCCTACTTTAAATTCAAGCATTAAACCTAACGTTATATTTTTTTATTAAAGATATTTAAAAAACTCTGTAAAACTTCTTAATTAAATCGATAAATTATTTTAAATATATTTAAAATTAAGATTATTAGATAGTTTACAGTGCACAAATTGTTTGTACTTAATTAAATCAAATAGTGATAAATACTCCGTATTTAGACTTTAACTTCAGTCAGTGCATGTGATCATGTGTGCTTAATCTGCTGCGGCTAATTTGACTTTCGTTACTTTGTTTTTTTTTTATATTATAGACAACTTTTTCCCTAACTTTGATGTCTCTCTAGAATTACTTCATACTATGCATGAGAATTTATTTTTAAATTTAATAATTTATTGGTATAATATATGCATGTCTGAGGAAAAGGAATAAAATAATTTCGAGAATATATGAAATCTGCCGCGACGCACCGGAATAGTATTTGTACTGGAGTGCATTTTTAATAATTGAATAGTAAGTGCCCGCACAACCAACTAGGTATTAACTAAAAATACCTTAAAGCTTGCAATAAAAAAAATATAAAGACATATAACTTAAGGCAAGAAACAATATATTTTATTAAATATAAGCAGCTAAGCATTGTTCAATCCAATATTATTATCTTCTTTTGCAATATAACGTGCACTGGAAACTAAATTCCTTAATTAAGATAAACATTCCATACCTTAGTCGATTATTATTATTAAAATGTTTTTAGTACTTTCTCGAATGATTCTAATATTCTACCATTTTAAGATGATTATAAGTAGTTTATCTTCCTATTGCTGTTGATATTATTTCGTAGTATTAACGATATTTTCTGACACATCAATTTGCTTTTAATGGTGTTTGAGTTGTATGTCAATTTTTGTGGTAAAATAAAGGATTTTCAGTAATCGTACGTAACCTTACCGTAAGGGCTTAAGACATTTTTTGTATTTGTTGTATTCTTTCTATCCGTAATATTATAATTTTTGTACACTGATACTCGAGTTTTCTTAATTAATTCAATTATATCAATGAAGTTCTTTTTTATTTATTTTCCCTACACCACTTATTCAGATGAATTGCTAATGATAAATTTAAATTATGAGGAAAATCCATTGCTTTAAATTATAGTTGACATTATGTCAAATTTAATTGTGATAAGGCCAAAATGAGCGAAGTATTTATATAATGTTCCAAATCCAAGGTTCGGCCAGGATGAGAACGTTGATGTTTACTTTATTCACATCATAATTAAAAATCTCAGAATTTTTAATGGAATAATTTTGTTCCAAAAGACGGAAATCTATTGCGAGCATAAAAAAGCGATTAGAAGGGACAAAAGGACTGAAAATAAAATGTAAGCGCATAGTATAGAGGGATCAATAATAATCATCTTTGAACTGTTATGACTCCGTTCACAGGGTGTTTTATAACATATCACAAAATAGAATTTGAATTAAATTCTACTATAAATACAATTCTAACATAACAATTTCTATAAAAAATAAACATTTATTTTTTTTAACATTACAAAATTGATAAAAATATTTATAAAATATCTATCGTGTAGAACATTTTTTTTTAAATATTTTTTAATATTTTCGTAACTTTTTATTGCAATTTAATGAGGTATTTTGCCATTTTCTTAAACCAGATTAAATATTAACTTTCATGTTTGTTTTACGATACATTAATATTATATGAAACCATTTACTAAAGTAAGGCTTCCTTTGTGTATCCCTAATATTAACAAAAAACCGACATACCGTTTAATTTGGTGGTTGTTTTAGTTATTTTAAATATTGCGGCATCAGAATACTATTGTAATTGTCATTTTCAAAAAAAAAAATTATAGGCATGACTATTTTATCTGTAGTTTGATTATGCTACGGAGGTGTTTAATTGTTTTGCAAATATTTAAAATAGTGCTTATTTTTTTCAAATGTATTACCTCATTTTGTTGATTAGGCTTGTTGTTATTTTTATTAGTATTATTGTTTTGTGTGATATTTAATTATTTGATTAAATAGTCAGTACAAATGATTAGTTATTTTCACGCAGTCTTAAATGTAACACATTTTTAATATAATTACTTATTTAATGTATTACATTAATTTATTTCAACAGTTATGCTTTGCAAGCCCTTTCTCTTCTGAATATCACCATCTCTTTATTTCTCTCTCTGAGTTAAATTTTATCTTTTTTTTTGTTTCTTTGTAAAAAAGTATAGATATTTCTATCTGTATTACAATTTTATCTCAAGTACATACTCGTAGTATAGGATTAGCTTCAAGCACAATTCATTTTATATACTATTTATTTTAAACTATGGCTTTCACATAACTTCTGTAGTAGATACATATTTAGGACTAGATATATTTGAATTTATCTAAGTAGTAGTTATTGTATATATATATATCACTTTCGAATTAAAATTATTTTCTCAATCTTTATATAAAACTAAATTTTTCTTACAATCACCATTTCAAACTAATTTTTGATCGCAAAATTTGTAAATTAATTTATCAACATAATGTTAGGCTAAAATATATATATTTAAAGCTACTAGACACATCGTGATTTTCTGTTTACTCGGTTGGTTAATACTTTTATAACAATATACTTATCCAAAAAAATTGTGAAAATATGGGTGTAAAATTACATAATCACAAAGCAAGATATGAAGTAAATTGGTGTTAAACATTTTCTGTCAAATAAAGTGAAATTTAGAAAGCTGAATATAATTTTATTACTTATTATTTTTATTGATATTGTTTTCATTGTACATCATAATATTTATAAAATCAATTCACATCATAAAAGAAATGTCGGCGACATGTAATTATTTCACAGCGTTGTTATTATGAAATCCAGTTCCAATAATTGCAATGTAAGAAGATTTTAATTTGATAATATATAGAAACTAATGTTATAATTAAACCGTGGCCCGTGACATAACTGAAAAGTAAAAAATTCAAAAATGCTATTTTGTGAGATTTCCTTTATTTTTCCAATTTCTTCTTTCTAACGTTCCAACTTATTTGTTATCTAAAAAGAGTTAAATATAATTACAATTTCGTTTTATCGGTAAAATGAGACGCTATAATTTCATTATAAGAACGTGGAAAAGGTGTGAGATAATAAATATGCTTGGTATTAGAGTTCAGTTATATTTCGTTGTTAATTAGACGTTCTAATGAGTTCAGCGTAGCAGCGACCATTCTAGAAGAAAACATAAGAAAACTTAGGACTTCTAAGAACTGAAACATTATCAAACAACGACGTGTTTGCAATCCACAGAGTAAGGTGAGAATGTCGCGAGACAAGGGTATTAGTTGCTCTATCAAATTAATGTAAATAGCTTATTATTAGCTTATAGACAAAAATGTCATTTTAGAGCGATGTCGTATCCTTACTCTCCACAAAGTAAAAATTGGAAAATATTCTATTTTCTGTCGCCAAATTATTTATGATAGAACAAGCCCATAATAACTTGGTAGAATAACAGTACTAATCAGCTTTGTCTCGCCAGCAATTCTAAAGTCAGGAATTTGCATTTAGAAAAAGCTAAATTTAGGGGCTTTTTAGGTGCTAATTAGGTGCCAAGTT